GTTCAACGTCAATGCCTTATTGATTCTTACAGTCATCCAGCCGGGCTGCACCGTGGTGCTGTGGTTAAAGCTGTTGCCGTGCAGCAAGAAGGTCCTGCGGTCATTCTGGAAGGAGTTTGCATGCTCTCCCTGTGCAGGCATGGGTTCTCTCCGGGTGCTCGGGCTTCCTCCCACAGTCCAGAACAACGTGACTGTCAGGTTGATTCGTCTGTCTGAATCCAAACTTTTCAAGACGAGGGCCGAAATCCTGAAGTTAAAACTCCTCACAGGCAACAAAAAAATTACTTCTTAAAAAAAGCAAACATTATTTTATATTTTTCATTTGTTCTGCTCAAAAAATGCCTAAAATAGATTTATTTGTGCAAATTTGAACTAAATGATTTAAATATATGAATTAATTTCAACAGCCTCTTGGAGAGGCCGTACTTTGGACACACCTGGTCTAAACTGTCCTCAGGTGTGTCTTCATGTTGCCTAGCAACAGACTGGCGACCTGTCCAGGGTGTACCCCTTTTAATCACCATTAGTATTATTTTTCTCATTTTAAACATATTTTAATCATTTTCATACTTAATAAAAATGTTTTTGTTTCTGTGAAGCACATCGTGATTTTTATCCTGAGAGGCGCTTCTGTTTATAAAAGATGGTTTTCTTTCTTACCTCGCCTGTTTGCCCCGAGACTGATGGAGGTGCACCAGCCCCCTGCGTGGATAAGTGGGTACAGAAAATGGATGGGTGGATGTCCATCCAGCTGTCTGTCTAACACCTCCAGGCAGATTCCAAAGCATTCCCAAGGTGGAGAATATTTATGCCCAGAAAACCTCCAGAGGAAATCAGCCAGGATGGATTCTGGTCAGGAGCCCAAACCACCTCCTCTGTCTCTTCTAGGATGAGGAGTAGTGGCTCTACTCTGATTCCATCCCAGTAAAAGTAAACAAGAGGGTCGTCTTCCTCCTTCCTCCCATCATGCAGGAACCTTCTGGAACGTTCCATCGTCCTCAGGTTTGGAGCTGTGGCCTCATAAAACATCCTCTCTGAAGGTTTGAGATTCAGATGAACGTCACATTGTTCTCCCGGTCAGCTAAACGTCCCTCTGGGTGACTGAAGTTAAGAGATGAGCTGCATCAGACCCAGTTCTCTCCAGACTTCCTGTTTAGATGCGATCTGTTGGGTGAAAGTAAAAACATTCACACATCGTGTTGTTTTGCTTTTATCAGCCGGAGACAATGCCTTCCACCGCCCCGCTGTTGTAAACCAGAGCAACGGTGATGAATGTTGTTATCATTTCTGCACAAAGCTGCAGGATAATCGATGTGGAGTCAGGTGAGACGGCCGTTTGCATCCCAGACTCAACGCAGACAAAAGGACCGGAGCGTGGGAACCGCCAGGGGCCTCGTTCGTCAATCAGCAGTGGCAGAAAGAATAAAATCAATCCTGCATCGGTATTTCTCAGGGGGTAATGGTTCTAGAAATAAATGTTCTGACCTTTGTTCAATCAATGCCAGGATGGAAAACTCCTTTCTCGTCAGTAAAACCTTAAGCTGTCTGTTCTGCAGCATCACGGCTGTTTAAAAACCTCCACTGATAACTTAATTGTGTTAAAGCGACGCCTGACTGTGAGTGAACAGAAACAAGATGTTAGGAATCCTTTCTAAAGGGGAAACTCACCAGAAACGTCCACGTTTGATGTACCTGATCAGGAGAAATGTTAATGCAGCTGCCAGTGGCTCATTAGGAACACCATGGTGATAGACAGTGGCCAAAACACAGCTTTTTGGATGAAGTATCTTTGAAGAGAAAAACAAAGTTGTTTTTGTGACCCTCGGAACTCCGGAGGGAAATCTTAACATTCACATCCGAGACGCGGTCGGAGAGATCGGCTGAGAGGAGAGACGTGGACAAGAGCTGAGCTTTACTTTTCGATTAGGAAGCAGCAGAGAGGAAGGAGAAGTTTCACCTCTAATGATGGAGCGTCTCATCCCAAGCTCGCTGCTGATTTTAATTTCACACGGACACCCGGCGGAGCGCCGAGCTTGTTAGTTTAGTCCGCTGTCGGACTGCTCTCCGCTGAGCCGAGATAACAAGGCTGGAGCTGAGAGGGAAGTGAGACGATATAACAACAAACAGCATGGCTTCTCCTGTCTGGATGATTCAGCCCCGCTGAAGAAGCTCTTTTTGTTTGGGTGTGAACCGGGTTTGACTTCACAGACAACAGAACCTCCTCTTGGTTTCTTCGGCTCTTCCTGGGATCAGAAGACTTTCCTCCCTCCAGCCTCCTGAAGGGTTAAAGTCACCTGCAACACCTCCGAAGCTCCGCCTCCGTTTACTGGAGGACCCTGTTGGCCTGCCTGCCGACAGAGAGGATTATGGGAACAATTGGACCGGCTTTCCTTTTTATTGTGGCGCTGATCCTAATAAAGAAACTTAATGGAGACGTTTAAAGGAATGTCGTGCTAATAGCCTGATCCCTGTCCCAGCTACAGCTTGCGAGTCGCTAATTATCTGGTAATTAACCAGAAATAAATCTCAACTGCTGAAAAATAACCTTCTACTGACTCTCCTGCTGCTTATCTGGAAATGTATTAATGCAAATAAGTAAATTAAAGCTCTGTTTAATTATAGCAGAGAGCTAAAGCGGCGTGTTGACTCAGACTGTGTAAAGCTCCGGCAACATGGAGGCTATGGAGCCAACACCCAAACCCAAACCAACAGCAAAAGCAATATCGGTCCTGCAAAAAATGAATGACAGAAAGCCGGGAGAGCTTCAGCGCTGCCGGGGGAACTATGATTATGGGATTAACGTTTTTGGAAAGTGTGTTTTTGCACCATCAGTCGTGGAGGCGGTTAGCGCGATACAAAACGCAACAAGAAGTGACAAGAGGAGAAAATTAGAAAGCTGCAGGCAGCAGACTTATTAAGGAGAGATGATGGAGGCTGGAATGAACAGAGGCATCCTCCACCTGCTGCTCCAGCGTCTCATCAGGAGGTCATCGGGCCTGGTGGCATCACAGAGAAGTCGTAATGAAAAACGTGGTTTTTAATCGTCAAACAGGACAAATCTGAATAATTGTGTTCATTAGTTTTGGAGTGCATGAAACAGGTCTTCCATCTTCAGGTGCAAATGAAAGACCAATGGACTCCAGGTGGCTTGTGATTGGTCCATGACAGTTCAGAACCACCTTAGAGGATTGATGTGGTACCTGAATGGTCCTGTGTGGAGCACGGAGGCAGCATAACCATGAGCTGGGACCTCTACGGTCAGGATTTCTGTTTTCATGCCGTTCTGCATCAAACCTACTAACCGAGCTCACCTGTGCTCCTCACAGCTACAGCTCTATTAAAACCCTTTTATAATAATAATAATAATAATAATAATAATAATAATAACCTTCATCGTCTCTTTAACAGATGATGTTTCTGTCTTAAACCCACTTTTAGTTCTTAATAAATCACCAAAAAACAGATTTTCATCTAAATATAGAAACTTTTATTTTACAGTTTCAGCAAAAATATCAAACATCTCCAGTTTCATTGCAGTTTGTTAAATACCTAAATACACGTTTACAGCAGCAGTAGAAAATATAGCACATCTGTTTTCAGATACAAAACACACACACACACACACACACACACACACACAGAGGCATGGACGCAATTTTCACTTTAGAAGTGGGGATGGGGGGGGGGGGGGGGTGTTCTAATGGGAAACCGGCTTCAACACAAACGGTTGTTTTCTGCTTGGTCCTAGAGCTCAACCGGTCTCAATTTAATATAAAGTAATGTTGTTTTTGGATGGTAAAAAGTGCAGGGGTCAAAACTTGACTTTGGAAAAAGTGGGGGGGACATGTCCCCCCCTGCCCCCCCCAAAATTACGTCCGTGCACACAGGATAAACAACACACACACACACGCGCGCGGATGAAACTGAAGACGATGTTAAATGAAAGGATGGCTGTGAGTCGGACCTTCTGACTGAGGAAGCTGACATTTGTGCACTTGGAACATTTTTATGCAAGGGGAATTATTTCATGCACCTGGGATGCCAGCCGTCACCATGGAGACCCAGACAGCAGTGAGACGCTCCCATCAGGAAGGAAAAACAGAAACAGCTGCACCTTTAGCATCAGAACGTGAACGCGGCAACGACGCTGAAACACCGTCGCCCCTGTGGTGGTGAAATAGAGAAACGCCTCCTCGGTCGGCTGGAGGATCTGTTTTAGCCACTTAAGTAGAGAAGAGCTTAACAAATGTGCTCGTTGTCCGGTGTGTATCCGTTGTTTAGCTAATCTGTTCCCTCCCAACACGGAGAACACACTCCGCTCCTAAAGCTGTTAAACCTTCCTGCTGCAGGGCCGCCGTGAAGCTCACGCTGGATTTACGAAAGCCGCTTCGTCTGCAGCTTCAGATGAATCCTGAAGCTTTCCTCTGCTGTAATCAACCTCGAAGCTTTCTGCCTTTCAACCTAATTAAAGGTACAATCTGCAGTTTTCCCCGTCAGGAATCAAGTACGACTATTGTAGAAACCTGTAAAAGCGACGCCCCGTCCCGTATGGACGCCAAACACAGAGCCAGCGTGAGCGTTTGAGGACGTACCGAGGCAGATGCTGAGTTGGGCCTTTTTCACAGCCTTCAAAATAAAGCTCTTTTCAAAATAAAAGTGTTTGATAAATAGCTATTGTAGTGATTTAGTATTTTTGCATTGATGACCGCATGAGCGACGTACAGTTCTGTCCCATTTCCCTCATAAAGCTAAAGGAATCCTGTCCGGCTCGGTCCTTCCTCCATGTTTTTGGCTTCTGACCCAGACCTTCTGGGTCTCTGCCCAGTTTGGGAAAAGCTGCAGCGGTTTCAGCGAGAGCTTCCCAAACCAAACGGTGGTTAGCTGGAGGCTTTTACCTGGAGTCTAGCAGTGATTGCACATGAAACAAAGATTTTACTTTTCCTAGAAAAGTCCCTTAATCAAACATTATAACACTTTTCTGATTCACTTATGGGCTTACGAAAGAAAACGTGATTTTATTCATAAGTATTCCTTTTCCTGATGTTAAATCTTTGCGATGCATATCTGGAAAGTTCCTGGACTCTTACAAACAAAGCTCAGAATGAAATATAAAAACAAAACCACCCCTGGAGTAAAGAGGTGGAAGCTGTTATTCCCGTTAATCCCCAAACCCAAAATTAAAATAAAATACAACAAAATCAGTTTAGAGGAGTGATGATCAGCAGTTACTCCTCTTCCTCTGGAGAAACAAAACAACACGGAGTCAAAGTGCAGACAGGAAGTGACTAAGGGCTGTGTTTAAAGGCAGGAGCAACAATGGTGGAAAAAAATCCTGGATCTTTTAGTCCAGGGGTCTTGGATTCCAGGCCGGGAGGTCTGGTCCAGCACGTTTTGGTTTTAATTCGGTTCCAACACACCTGATTTCACTCAGCAGGTGATAAACCGGCTTCTGTAGAGCCCGATGAGCTGCTGCACAGGTGAGCCAAGTGCTTTGAAGCAGAGAAACCACTAAAACTGGCTTGATACTGAACCTCCAGGCCCGGAAGGGAACACCCCCAATTCAGTCCCTCAGAAAACCGGTGGTGCGTTCGCTGTCCCACCGGACGTCTCGGCTTCAGATCATAAAACTCAGAAAGTCACAGAAAATCTCCAGCAAAGACGATTGGATCCAAGAAAAGAGCTCCAGCAGAAACGCAACATCAGGTCCAACAAGGCACTAAAGGTTCTGTCAGGTTCTGGAGTTACGACCCGACCGCTTCCGTCCAACCAGCTGCTACGGAGGCGAGGCGGCATGGGGCAGTCGGACAGGAAAGCCTCCTCAGGGGGAGGGGTCAGAGGGTTCTCGCTCTGATCAAGATGACCTTTAGAGACGCAACAGGAACCCGGTCCAAGTGCACCAGAACCAGACCAGCATTGGACCGCCTTCGCCTCACAAAGACACAATGTGGCACAGTGACAAGTCTGAGAGCGACTTGTGGATTTGGGGGAGGAGGGGGAGGGTATTGGGTGGAGGTAGGGGGAGGGGGAGGTACACACCGACACCATCTGAGCATGTGCAAAAGGCCGTAGGCTCTTCCCCTCATCAGCCAGCGAGGCCACACCCGGGGAAAGTAGGGAACCCATTTCCTGGTTCTGCCTGGATTCACCGAGCATCACTTTGATTCAAACCCCCCCCCCCAGTCAGAGAGACTTAAGAGGCAGAGAGTGGAAAGAGTGGGTAAAGGCGGTCATGGAGGTGGATAGGAAGGGGCGGGCGGGGGGTGCTCTCACAAAACCAAAAATCCACATCCATCAGAGATGAACCGTCAGCCTCCCACGCCGTATCCCAGCATGACCCTCCCACCTCCCAGGAGCGGCGCCGCCTCAGAGGGCTTCATGGTTGAAGCTGTCCAGGACGGTGGCGTTGGTCCGCTCAAACAGCCACTGCTGGCCGGGGGAGGTGGGGTCACACGTGCTCATGAAGACACGCCTCTCCGTGGGACTGCTGTCTACACAGCTGTTGCTGATGGGGTGGTACAGACTCTTGTCCTGGGGAGGAGGAGATGGGTCAGGGAGTGTGTGTGTGTGATGTGAGGACCCGGTCCAGCTGTGACACGTACCTGTCTGTAGCGCCACAGCTGGTTCCCCTTCATGCCATGACAATCGTACAGCGTGACGGGGCTGCTGTGAGAAACTGCGTCAAAGCAGACCTTCTTGGCGTGCATAGGGTCTCCGACACGGATGTCCTCTCTCCAGCCAAACGTGAACACCTGCAGCAGAGAAGGTCCACATGAGTAAAACCAGAACCGCTCTGATGTTCTGGTCCTGGGTCCTTCAGGAACCCCCCGAGGCCGGACCAAAGAGCACCGACCAAAACAGCAGACGATTAGCAGCAAATCCATTCATCTCTCTGGCGCTAAGGACAGATCGCCACGGCAACACAAATTCAACTCTGAAGCATCATCGGACAAAAGCAATTAAAGTGTTGGCGCTCGGAGACGCGGCGGAGACAAAAGAGGACACTGGATCCAATAAGGTTGTTTTATGAGCTCAACTTAGAGGTCCCTGGTGTGAGCCAGCTAATGAGGGCTGTGTGTGTGAGTGTGTGTGCCTGTGTGTGTGTGTGTGTGTGTGTGTGACTACACTTACAGGTGAAACAATAAACAGTTAAACCTCCTGAGAAAAACATTCAGGCAAAGTTTAAAATTTACTTTTAGAATAAAAACTTTATTTAAATTTTTTGCCAGATCAAATTTACCATCTGAGCTAAAATGATTATAATGAGTTTTAATAATAATAATAATAATAATAATAATAATGATGATGATAATGATAATAATAATAATAAGTATTATTATTATTATTATTATAACAATAAGGATTATTAGTATATTAATAATAATAATCATTATTATGATAATAATGATGATATTATTATTAATAATAATAATAATAATAGACTATTGACCCCACAGTGGGGAAATTCACTTGTTACAGCAGCACCAACACTTAATGGAATTATCTGAAGATAAATAATAACAAGGTACATGTATTTATACACAGAGGCAGTAGTGTAGTATTGTAACCTTCAACCCCTAAAAACCACGAATAAAAAAAAGAAAAAACTTGGGTTCCAACACTATGCAGCATACTGTAAGTGACACAGACATACTAAGTAAAACTGGTATTGAACACATACTGAGTATTGCATTGGTGGTATTGTGTACCAGGATAATGCCAGTACCAGTTAACCTGAGGAGTTCTACACTCTTACTGCAGAGGGGATGAATGACCTACGGTAGCGTTCTGGATTACATCTGGGATGTCTCAGTCTGCCCCTGAAGGAGCTGTCCATGGTCTCCACAGTGGAATGCAGTGGGTGGTCATCTTCCCCAGCATTAATAATAATAATAATAATGACAATAATAATAAACTGCTCTGGGCTGCAGTCTGGGCTTTAATCCGGACCTCAGTGACGACATCGACCACGAACACCTGGTCAGGTTAAAATTAGAGCTGAGGAAAATAATCAAATAATCGATGCATCAGGATGCGGACATAAACGATTCTGCATCGTAGAAGAGTACGCCATAATCGATTATAGTGGAATGTAGTTTTGTTTTTTAACGGCGGCACCAGCGCAGCATCCAAATCTATCAGTGGGTGTCCTCCACATTTACCAAGTAGTTCCGCCTTAATGTGGTACTGCAGGGCTGAGCGCTGGAGTTGTAACCTGAGACCGAACCGGAACCAAATCAGCCCGACTGGTTCTGTTGGATTTGGGCCGTGAATTATGTTAATTGAGCGGGTTGTCGCACGGCGCGCTCCGCTCACTCGATCAGCGAGCGAGAGAGAGAGAGAGGATCGGAGGACGCTCCTCCAAACACGCATTATTATTTTCATAATTTAATTATTGTTTCTCCTGGAAGCGCTCAGTCAGACCGAGTGTTGTGATGCTGGGAGATCCGGTCTTGGGGAGGGGGTGGGGTCAATGACGGCAGCTGCAGCGTAATCATGTCTCTTTTATTCAGGGACATGGAAAAGTTAAAAGGAGAGAGAAATAGAAGATAGAAGTTCTTGTTCCACTTTATTCTTTTGTTTCATGATGATAAACTGATGTTAAATTCAGCTTAAAGAGAAACTGGGAGGAAGCTTTGGTTCATTTTAGGTTACAGGAAGTCTTGTCTCCTATCTGCTCCTCCAGAGACAGCATGGACATGAGGGTTACATGGACATGAGGGTTACATGGACATGAGGGTTACATGGACATGAGGGTCACATGGACATGAGGGTCACATGGACATGAGGGTCACATGGACATGAGGGTTACATGGACATGAGGGTCACATGGACATGAGGGTCACATGGACATGAGGGTTACATGGTGAGGGTCACATGGACATGAGGGTTACATGGACATGAGGGTTACATGGACATGAGGGTTACATGGACATGAGGGTCACATGGACATGAGGGTTACATGGACATGAGGGTTACATGGACATGAGGGTCACATGGACATGAGGGTCACATGGACATGAGGGTTACATGGACATGAGGGTCACATGGACATGAGGGTCACATGGACATGAGGGTTACATGGTGAGGGTCACATGGACATGAGGGTTACATGGACATGAGGGTCACATGGACATGAGGGTTACATGGACATGAGGGTTACATGGACATGAGGGTCACATGGACATGAGGGTTACATGGACATGAGGGTCACATGGACATGAGGGTCACATGGACATGAGGGTTACATGGACATGAGGGTTACATGGACATGAGGGTCACATGGACATGAGGGTCACATGGACATGAGGGTTACATGGACATGAGGGTTACATGGACATGAGGGTCACATGGACATGAGGGTCACATGGACATGAGGGTTACATGGTGAGGGTCACATGGACATGAGGGTCACATGGACATGAGGGTCACATGGACATGAGGGTCACATGGACATGAGGGTTACATGGACATGAGGGTTACATGGACATGAGGGTCACATGGACATGAGGGTTACATGGACATGAGGGTTACATGGACATGAGGGTCACATGGACATGAGGGTCACATGGACATGAGGGTTACATGGACATGAGGGTCACATGGACATGAGGGTCACATGGACATGAGGGTTACATGGTGAGGGTCACATGGACATGAGGGTTACATGGACATGAGGGTCACATGGACATGAGGGTTACATGGACATGAGGGTTACATGGACATGAGGGTCACATGGACATGAGGGTTACATGGACATGAGGGTCACATGGACATGAGGGTCACATGGACATGAGGGTCACATGGACATGAGGGTCACATGGACATGAGGGTTACATGGACATGAGGGTCACATGGACATGAGGGTCACATGGACATGAGGGTCACATGGACATGAGGGTTACATGGACATGAGGGTTACATGGACATGAGGGTCACATGGACATGAGGGTCACATGGACATGAGGGTCACATGGACATGAGGGTCACATGGACATGAGGGTTACATGGACATGAGGGTCACATGGACATGAGGGTCACATGGACATGAGGGTCACATGGACATGAGGGTTACATGGACATGAGGGTCACATGGACATGAGGGTTACATGGACATGAGGGTCACATGGACATGAGGGTTACATGGACATGAGGGTCACATGGACATGAGGGTCACATGGACATGAGGGTTACATGGACATGAGGGTCACATGGACATGAGGGTTACATGGACATGAGGGTCACATGGACATGAGGGTTACATGGACATGAGGGTCACATGGACATGAGGGTTACATGGACATGAGGGTCACATGGACATGAGGGTTACATGGACATGAGGGTCACATGGACATGAGGGTTACATGGACATGAGGGTTACATGGACATGAGGGTTACATGGACATGAGGGTCACATGGACATGAGGGTCACATGGACATGAGGGTTACATGGACATGAGGGTTACATGGACATGAGGGTTACATGGACATGAGGGTCACATGGACATGAGGGTTACATGGTGAGGGTCACATGGACATGAGGGTTACATGGACATGAGGGTTACATGGACATGAGGGTTACATGGACATGAGGGTTACATGGACATGAGGGTCACATGGACATGAGGGTCACATGGACATGAGGGTTACATGGACATGAGGGTTACATGGACATGAGGGTTACATGGACATGAGGGTTACATGGACATGAGGGTTACATGGACATGAGGGTCACATGGACATGAGGGTTACATGGACATGAGGGTTACATGGACATGAGGGTTACATGGACATGAGGGTTACATGGACATGAGGGTCACATGGACATGAGGGTTACATGGTGAGGGTCACATGGACATGAGGGTTACATGGACATGAGGGTCACATGGACATGAGGGTTACATGGACATGAGGGTTACATGGACATGAGGGTCACATGGACATGAGGGTTACATGGACATGAGGGTCACATGGACATGAGGGTCACATGGACATGAGGGTCACATGGACATGAGGGTCACATGGACATGAGGGTCACATGGACATGAGGGTTACATGGACATGAGGGTCACATAGACATGAGGGTCACATGGACATGAGGGTTACATGGACATGAGGGTTACATGGACATGAGGGTTACATGGACATGAGGGTCACATGGACATGAGGGTCACATGGACATGAGGGTCACATGGACATGAGGGTCACATGGACATGAGGGTCACATGGACATGAGGGTCACATGGACATGAGGGTCACATGGACATGAGGGTTACATGGACATGAGGGTCACATGGACATGAGGGTTACATGGACATGAGGGTCACATGGACATGAGGGTTACATGGACATGAGGGTCACATGGACATGAGGGTCACATGGACATGAGGGTTACATGGACATGAGGGTCACATGGACATGAGGGTTACATGGACATGAGGGTCACATGGACATGAGGGTTACATGGACATGAGGGTCACATGGACATGAGGGTTACATGGACATGAGGGTCACATGGACATGAGGGTTACATGGACATGAGGGTCACATGGACATGAGGGTTACATGGACATGAGGGTTACATGGACATGAGGGTTACATGGACATGAGGGTCACATGGACATGAGGGTCACATGGACATGAGGGTTACATGGACATGAGGGTTACATGGACATGAGGGTTACATGGACATGAGGGTCACATGGACATGAGGGTTACATGGTGAGGGTCACATGGACATGAGGGTTACATGGACATGAGGGTTACATGGACATGAGGGTTACATGGACATGAGGGTCACATGGACATGAGGGTTACATGGACATGAGGGTTACATGGACATGAGGGTTACATGGACATGAGGGTTACATGGACATGAGGGTTACATGGACATGAGGGTCACATGGACATGAGGGTTACATGGACATGAGGGTTACATGGACATGAGGGTTACATGGACATGAGGGTTACATGGACATGAGGGTTACATGGACATGAGGGTTACATGGACATGAGGGTTACATGGACATGAGGGTCACATGGACATGAGGGTTACACAGGACAGGTTAGTGGAAAGGTTTGTAGTTAGCTGGTTAGTGAAGGAGATCCATCAGCTGGGTAATTTAATCCTAATCCAGCCCACAGCCTTCTGCTGGTGTTATTATCAGAAAGAATAAAACACACATCTTAAATATGATTGGAAGTGTAGAATTTGTTTTATGTTTTATTATTTTCTGCATCAAACAGAACTTGATTCATTCTCCAACATTTCAGAAACGAACCGCTGGGTTCAAATAAACTAAACTAAGTGAACTGGTGTTATTTCTGACACCCTTCAACTGTGGCATAAATATCTGACTCTAGAGCTGCTCAGAGACATTAAACACTCATATATGAACCCATTATGGATTTTATTATTACATTATGTGTCCTGTAGGTTTTCAGTACTTTTTCAGATTTTGTGAGTTTTTGCAAAGCGTGTTTTTCTCAGCCTGAGGCGTTGAACGAGGAAACAGATGTTTTTACTTTGTTAAATCTTCTTAAATGTTTAAAATGTTTTGTCCTAACCTGTTGTTAATGGAGAGATTTTCAGGGATGGCAGGTTGTGTCAATCACGTTTTTGATAAAATAAAATAAAATAAAATAAAATAAATAAAAATAAAAAGCAATAATCTTTTTTTATTTATTTATTTATTTATTTTTAAATTTTTTGATTTTTTTTTTAACGTGTCCTGTCTGGCTGTGAAGCAAGCAGAATTGATGTCTGAATGCTGGTGACAAGCCTTACAGATTTATTCTCAGGTGGAGCATCAAAGCATTTGCTTTTAATGTCACGCCTGATACTTAAAACTTTATGGTTATTGTTGTTGAATGCTTTGTAATTCTGACCAGACACGGAGACAGAGGTGAAAGAGAAAGGAAAAGAAAAGGTGGGGAGAGAGGGGGGGGGGGGTCCACAAAAATAAACAATAATGAACAAGAGTCTGCTTCTAGACCTGCAGAAAAAGACAAAAAAAAGCAAAAGGGCAAAAAAAAATGGGACACAACAACAATACAACAAGATCTAGCTATCACTGCGTCAACTTGATGAAAAAAATATATAATCAATATTGCTTAACTGAAGAATCACGATAATAAATCACAGTGCATTAAGTGCCCACCATAGTCTTAAGACATGTGTTGAACGTGCCCAAGCCCATACTTTTGAGAGCACCATGTGAGCACCTGTGTGTGTACACGTGCTTGTATATGTAAGGTTTCTCTATAGGAGCGTCCAACAGAGAGTGTGAGGGACCACAGATCTGCCCCCCAAAGATGCGCAGGAGACGGGGGGAGCTCCAAGTCCCAGAGATCCAGGCGCTGCCCCAGAACGCAGGAACCCCAAGGAGACTGCAACCAGGAAGGCCCCCGCCCCCCTCGAGAGGCACAGAGGATCGCCCCGGGGGGCCACAACCAGCAGCCGGCAGAGTCCCTGGAGATATCAGCGGCAAGCCCACAGGCCCGCCCGCAGCCTCCCACCCCATAGCCGGCCGAGCCCGGGACCCAGCGACCCGGGACCCAGGGGCGACCACCCCCGCCGGGGACCCAGCAGAGCCCAGGGACCCAGACCCCACCAGGCAGCCACCGGGATCTATCAGGCAGATGCCAAAATCTTAAACCCCCAAACCCGGTTGCCACGAAAAAGCAATAATCTGACATCTTCTATTTATTGATAAAAACAAATCAATATGAAATAATCGTGATGCATCTGGATCCATCCATCCATCCATCTTCATCCGCTTATCCGGAGTCGGGTTGTGGGGGCAGTAGCCTAAGGCAAGGGGCTCAGACTTCCCTCTCCCCAGCCACTTGGGCCAGCTCCTCCGGGGGAATCCCAAGGCGTTCCCTGGACAGGTGAGAGACATAGTCCCTCCACCGTGTCCTGGATCTACCTTTAGGCCTCCTCCTGGTTGGACGAGCCCGGAAAACCTCACCAGGGAGGCGTCCAGGAGGCATCCTGACCAGATGCCCGAGCCACCTCAACTGGCTCCTCTCGATGTGGAGGAGTAGCGGCTCTCTTCCAAGCCCCTCCCGAATGGCCGAGCTTCTCACCCTATCTCTAAGGGAGAGTCCAGCCCCCCTGCAGAGAAAACTCATTTCGGCCGCTTGTATCCACGATCTCGTTCTTTCGGTCACTACCCAAAGCTCATGACCATAGGTGAGGGTAGGAACGTAGATCGACCGGTAAATTGAGAGCTTCGCCTTCTGACTCAGCTCTCTCTTCACCACGACAGACCGGTACAACGCCCGCATCACTGCAGATGCAACACCAATCCTCCTATCGATCGCACGCTCCAGTTTTCCCTCACTCATGAACAAGACCCTGAGATACTAAAACTCCTCCACTTGGGGCAGGACCTCATCCCTGACCCGGAGAAGGCGTTCTACCCTTTTCCGAATCAAGACCATGATCTCAGATTTAGAGGAGCTGATTCTCATCCCAGCTGATTCACACTCGGCTGCAAACTGCTCCAGCGAAAGCTGAAGATCACGTTCTGATGAAGCCAACAGGACCACATCATCTGCAAAAAGCAGAGACCTGATCCTCACGCCACCAAAACGGATGCCCTCCACACCTTGGCTGCACCTAGAAATCCTGTCCATAAAGGTTATGAGAATTGGTGACAAAGGGCAGCCTTGGTGGAGTCCAACTGTCACTGGGAACGAGCCCGACTTACTGCCGACAATGCGGACCAAGCTCTGACACCGGTCATACAGGGTCCTAACAGCCCGTATCAGAGGGCCTGGTTCCCCATACTCCCAGAGTACCCCCCACAGGGCCCCCCGAGGTACTCGGTCAAACGCCTTCTCCAAATCCACAAAACACATGTAGACTGGTTGGGCAAATTCCCACGCACCCTCCAGGATCCCCCTAAGGTTATAGAGCTGTTCCGGTGTTCCACGGCCAGGACGAAAACCACATTGCTCCTCTTGAATCTGAGGTTCAACAATCCAACGGACTCTCCTCTCCAGAACCCCTGAATAGACCTTACCAGGAAGGCTCAGGAGTGTGATCCCCCTGTAGTTGGAACACACCCTGCGGTCCCCCTTTTTAAATAAGGGGACCACCACCCCGGTCTGCCAGTCCAATGGGACTGCTCCTGATGCCCACGCGATATTGCAGAGCCGCATCAGCCAACACAGCCCCACAACATCCAGAGCCTTAAGGAACTCCGGGAGGATTTCATCCACCCCAGAAACCTTGCCACAGAGGAGCTTTTCAAGCACCTCAGTGACCTCAGCACCAGAGACTTGAGAGGCCAACCCAAAGTCCCCCGACTCTGCTTCCTCACTGGAATCGGGAGACAAGTGAAGATTCCTCTAGTTAAAATGATCCTTCTGAGGGTTTTATTCTAGTTTCAGGAAGCTGATAAAACACACACGTTTACATCATAAAGGGAAATGATGAGTTAAAGCTCCCTTAAGGGTTTGTTCAGGGAAAGAGTCGTGTTCTGACAGAAACTAGGCAAACGCATCCCAGGAACGTTTGGCTGAACTCACTGAACCAAACGCTGCCTGTTTATTATCATTTAAAACCTTTAAGGCTGACATATTCGTTTGTTTTATCTACTGATGTTTTAATCATCGTTCAGCACTTTGTTTTTAAATAAAGTTATTATTGCGTTAGGCCAGGGAACATGAATGACCAGTCGTGTGCTTTTAGAAACAAACCGCTGATCACCTGTCCGTGGCTCCAGCTGACTTCTCCTCGGTTCTTCACGCAGTTTTCCAGCCGGATGGGACTCCCGGACACAAAGTGTTTGCTCTCCATACACAAGCCGTTTCCCACGCTCCGGATCTGAAAAGCAAACATCTGTCTGAGACGTCCGAAGCAGATCGGATCGTCATTACATCATTGTTGTGATTCAGGAGCAGAAGGGAGAGTAAAGCTCGGAATGATCATGGATCTGAATGAAATAACAACAACACAACCGCGGGAGGTTGCGGTGTTCTGGGCGGGTCTGATCTGAGCCTACCTCCCCCCACGCGGCGGCAGGAGGCTCCACTGGAGGATAATGTTTGGGCAGATCCCAGGCCACCTCCTTCATGAACCACTTGAAGCTCCTGCAGTTCAGCCGGCTGCGCAGCTCCTTCTGCGTTGTCACGTCTCCCGCTGAGATGTGCCGGTACTCGGGTCGGCGCTGGTAGATGTACTCAGCGTACTCGTCCATCCAGACTTCAGCCACACGCTTCAGGTTCTACAGAGAAAAGAAGGTCATTCTAGGGGTGGAGCTTAAGGAGGGGCGAGAACCGTCGGATGGTGTTTCTACTAGAACAGAGGTGCTACATCCATGTTTGAGCCGATGTGATCAAAGCTAATCGGGTCGGTCCTACAGAACCCACCAGGTCGTCGGGACTTCTCCGCCTTCTCTGGGATCATCAAGGATAAAATAAAACGTTTCCATCTTTGACTTCCTGCTCATGGCACCAGTGTGTGATAGAGGTTGTGTCCACACCCGGGAGCCTCTGACCCGCCCTTTCCCAGGATGCACGTGGCTCCAACGTGAGACCTTAGTTCCTGTAATTACGGCGGCCAAAGCGGGTGTTCCAGTCTTAAACGTTGGCTGGTGTGAAGTTTTATATCATTAGTTGCTAGGCGACAGGACAAATGCTGATGTAGGAGTGGGAACAAAAGGAAGGCCAGATCACCCAAGTTCAAAGCTGCTCACTTCCGGTCGAGGACCGGATAGGAATGTGAGTCTGGACACATCCCGACTTTCCTAAACCTCCTGCTGATGACGAAGGTTCCTCCACACGCTGCACCAAACGTCTGGGTAACAACTTTAACGTAAACACCGAGTGTATTCACCTCTGCGAAGGCACAGAAACAAACTCCTGGTGCTGATGAGACGGAACCACGAACGTTCCTGACTGCAGGAGCAGCTTCTCCGACAGGTGGAGATCCTGCAGGAGTGCAGAAAGGAAGCCCACACCCGTGATGCCTCTGAGGCGTAAAAAGGTAAAACCAGAGTTCTTCTGCTTCTGAAAACACACGTTGGCGCTTGGAGGTACAGATGATGAAAGGAACAAGAATCTGGGTTCAGCAGCGCTCCCAGGAAGGAATAAATAACCCCCCGCAGCTATCCCAGGAACAGATGTAGCTGGAAAAGCCTTCCAGCCACACACGCTCGTCCCCGCAGAGCATCGGATCGCCTGCAGCCAAACTCCAGCTCTCAGTCACTCAGTCTCCCAGCTGGATTCACTCGGGAGTTCTGGGATCTCCTGAATCCAGATGGAGCTCTGATCTTATATATTATATATAAATAAGATCTTAGGACCTGCTGAAGGTGAATAAACAAGAGGAAACTGATTAGAGCAGCAAGAATCGGCTGAGATTTGTATAAAAAGATAATTTAGACAAGGAAGTCGTGGGCGTCCAGCAGCAGGTTAACGAGGCTCTACTGAGACAGACGAGGATCCGGAGGAGAGTCCACAAAAAGATCCAGAGGTTCTGGACTCACTCTCACTTTTAAAACATGGCCACAGGTGAGCGTAGCGGGGCGGGAAGTTCAGGACATGTCAAAATAAGAGCATGTGTGAGAAGTAGAATTGTTTTTATGGATGTGAATTTAAAAATATGCTTTCATCTCAAACTTTTTACTTTTCATCGTTTTTTTGTCCAGAGCTTTAGAGAATTTACAAAGTAAAAGTGATGCTAAACCTGCTGCTCGTTGGGTCAGAACTCTCTCACATCCACCTGAGCCCAACAGAGCCAGGTGTGAGAACCCGGTCCTGCAGGCCAGCGCTGCGTCTCCGAACACCTGTGCTGGTCACTGATCCTGGATGATTCTGAGGACGAAAACGGGAGGAGCAGGAAGTCTGGTCTTCTTGCAGGAAACACAACCTAAGTGCTGGGAAGCTTTCAAAATAAAGACCACTAAATGTTTGTGCCTCATTGGTTTGTTTTCAGGGCGGTGAATTCTTTACAAATCAACTTTTCTGGTTTGATTCTGAACAAAAACAGGAGCAAATTCACAGGAAGTGATTCTAACTCACCCTGGCAAGGCTGACACCCCCGGGGACTTTGTAAGGGACGTACTTCCTGTAGATGTGTCCCACCCGAGAGCAGGGGATGTCCTCCATCCGTCCTCCGCACATCCACACCTGCAGAGAGACGAGGCGGAGGAAAACAACCGCGGTTCAGAGGCAGAACTACAGTTTTAACTAGTAGTTCAGGTTTTAATCACCGGTGTTGGTCAACACTACAGTAAAGGAACATTACTGCCTTACATTAGTACTAATCTAAAAATGTTATATCTTATTATATTAAGAGTTTGAAAATATTAGTGCAACCAAACGATGATATTTTATTTCTTCAGTGAATAAAAGCAGACATGACTGAACACATAAAATGAGTTTAAATGACCTTTTTATTCATCCTTTTATCCCTAGGTCTGGAATTAGCTACGAGGAACAAAGCGGATCTGCGTCGGTCCCAACAGGAAGTGAAGGGTTCTGACAGTAAATCAGATTTGTGGAGATTTTTGATCACGATGAATCAGACGGACCGTAAAAAGCAATCAGAGCGCGTCCAATCACACGCAGCTCCTGAGCTGCAGCCTTTGTGCCTAACTGAGTGAGACGACAAAAGTCCTTACTCATTCAGGCCAGAATTCAATTACTGAGACGGCCGTCCAGACTCCACATGCGGGCCGAGTCAAGAGCAGTTACAGGAGCGTTGGGACTAATCCGATACGGAGCGCTGAGAGGTGATGTCCACGGAGGAGGAGGAGCGAGTTTTAGCTGTGTAGGGAAACATCTGGGAGCGGATTCATGTCAGACTAGAGATTTAACGTTCTGTTAACGGAACAGAAGAGGATTAGGGCCGCTGGGGAAAAAAGATGTATTTTTCCTCAGAATTCTGGGATTACAGTGAGAAATCCTTCTTTTCCATTACGAGAGTTTTGTTTAAATTTCCTAGTTTCAAATTTTAAAATGAGGAAAAACTAAAACTTGTGCCAAAAGAGCATGGATCAGACGCTAATACTTATGTCACTGTGTTGTGGAAGTTCAGAGCACTTATTCCATAAAAAACGGCTAAATCTGCATTTTTCTTAAATCTAATGATTTGATGTTTCTGATGTTAAGAGGAGCCACTGTAGATGGTCTGAGGTCGGGGTTGTGGCTCCAGAGCTGCAGGTTGCCTCTGAACAAAGAACTAAAGCTGAACTATAACACGTGCCTCCTTTTGGAATACGCTTTAAGCCCCGCCTTCTTATCTGAACAAATGGGACGTTGTCCTAAAAAAGGCGAACCAATCAGAGCTGAGTTTAGCGCAAGGGTTCTCTCCTCCGGGCGTGAACATCAACACAGATAAAAACTCAAACGTAGCGCTAAACGACCCCTGGTGGCTGATTCCAGTATATGTCTTAAGCTCCGCCCCCACATCCCACATCCTGACCCTGTTGTGTTTATGCTGCATCGAGGCCTTCATCCCGTTGGAAGGAAAACTCACTAAATGAATCCCAAAACCGAGGCCGAAGAGGAAGTAGAAACTCAGCCACTTCCTTTAGATTTGTGGCGTTGGCACCTTTAACTTCTGCCGCGTTGCAAATCAAACAGAAAACCTCTTCTGGGTTTTCCGCCTCTCCTTTTTAATTTGGCATGGGACCAAAGCCTCTCTGCAGCGGTTTGGATTTACAGCTAACTTCCTGATGTTTACGTCTGCAGACATCCATTAAAACTCAGTCAGTCCAGTCGTATACGTTAAGTGGCTCCAGATAAACACTTGGTGCCAATTAAACTAATTCAGGGGCACAAAAATGTGAACGTCGACACGGACGCAAATAGAAACGCCCCATTTTGGTTAATTCCACCCATTGAATGGAAGCGGTTGTATAAAAAATGATCGCTGTCAGCTCAGATAATTGCTCTCAGCTCTTTATGTAAATTGTAAAAAGCTCTGCGACATCATGACTGGTCCAGAATATAGAAACGTGTTCCTCAGCAGGTCAAAGTCAAACCTTTATTATAGAGAATATAAAAATGAGCCCTCTGGAGTGATTTGTTTACCTTGAATGAGATCTCGTACTGTTCTCCTCCCCAGATTTCCAGACCCGTGTCATATCCACCCAGCTCCCAGAACCACTTCCTGTCCACAGCAAACAGACCGCCCGCCATCACCGGAGACCTGAGACACACCAAACATGTCCCATCACCCCAAAAACTCCACTCCATGTTTCATTTAGCCAAACTGCATTTATCCAACACAGGTTTGGAAACGTCCTTTTGATAGAGATGGAGACCACAAAAGTTTAAACGGGTTGGAACAGCTCTCTGGTCCCACATGAAGACATTTCAGCAGCTTTATTGTGGACAGTTTCAGGACCCTCCAGAATGAGCCGTTTCAGAGCTCTTTCACTTTAAGAAAACAAGCTGTTTCTGGCCACACCCACCCCTCCCCTGATTGGCTGCTTTGAGTTAAGGAGCTTGGATATCCAGGAGGGGCTCAGAGTAGAGTTGCTTCTTCAGCATCTTCAGGTAAAAGGGGTTCCATGCTAATTATGTGACATCACAAACGGGGATATTTCAAAACAGCTAGCTTTTGGCACATAATTCCACAAACTAAAAACGGATGTATTTTGTTTAAAAATTTAACTCCCACTAGTTGTCACCAACGTTCTTTTTTTTTGTGAGAAATAAATTTTCATACACTAAAAATGAGAACAACAACAAACAAACAACTATTGACAGACATTTTCATTGACAAATAAGAGAAGAAAAAAATAATTCACAGAAACAAAAATCTAATCAGAAAACAAAAAAGATGGGCGACAGAAAAAAGATCAGCAAAGGGAGCAGGCAGGACTAAACCGGCTGTTTGTACAAGCTACTGCTAACCAGACATCTTACCTGATGCTAACGCCCGTAAAAGTTACGGCCAAAGGGAGAAAAAGCAGTAGATGAGACAATCTGAAAAGTATCGGCTTGGTGAGTGCACATCCGAGGTTTCCCCTGGTATAAAAGCGCTACGGTGCTGTTAGCAGCTAGCGGTGGTGAGAGGGTGCAGCGAACTAAACCGAACAATGGAGCAGAGCGGCGTGCATCTTGTCGTCTAAGTCTTTTAGATTTTCGGGGCAGCCTTTGGTCTTCTAGCGGTGATTTGTGAGGAGAAACCTTCAGATGTCCCACCTCAATCAGTCAGTCCAATGAAAATTGTAATAAACACACCTGAAAACAATTCTTGCCTTTATTTACTTTTAGAGTTAAACATTTCAGTTTTGATGGTATGATGTCATTTCCTGTCATGTGATACACAGATCTGTTAATTTTATTAATAATGAGAGGCACACTTTCAAACAGTGTTCATTTCGGTATTTTCCAATAATTATTGCTATAGAAACAATTATGAATGTAGTTTTTTTTATTTTTACAGATTCGAGTAGCTCTAGTTTATTTCGTAAAAGGTCGAAAATTATTGCATCAGAAAAAACCTTATTTTAGTCAACTAAAGTAAGACTTCAGCTGGACGACTAGATGAAACACACACACACACAGACTCATATACACGCACATGCACACACACACATACACACGCCGCACACACACGCACATACATACGCACACACACACGCATGCACACACATATACACACGCACACATACGCACATACACACACACACATGCACATGCACACACACACACACACACGCACGCACACACACGCACGCACATGCACACACACACACGCACACACACACGCACATACACACACACACACACACACACACACGCACGCACACGCACGCACACGCACACACACACACACGCACACACACACGCACATACACACACACACACACACACACACACACACACACACACACACACATGCGCACAGGTAAACGTGTTGTTAGTTTAGCTCCAGCTGGCACCATCCAACATGGTGATATCCACCCATTCAGTTCTATTCCCAACGCTCCCACAGACTTCCAGTTTGGACCCCCCAGGCTCCCGTAGCAGCTCCTCTCTGCTTTTATAGCAGTGCTGTGTTTTTTGACTGATCCATCCAGGAGATTACGTTTTAATAGTCAGTGTTTACGATGATTTAACCCTCCCACTGTCCTAATGGGGAAAGTTGACCATTGAGCAGGGTTGATGGTTTATCCCTTGAGGTCCACGTGGCAGGGGTGAGGTGGTGCTCACTCCTCACTCCTGCCACATGGACCCAAGGGATAAACCATCAACCCTGCTCAATGGACAACTTTCCTCGTGGAGTTGCACCCATTAGGACGGGGGTGGGGGGGGGGGGGGGGGGGGGGGTTAAAGAGACAACTGGCAACTTTTCAACTTAGAAAACCATTTTATCGAGGCAGTTTGTGCTAAATGACCCATGGCCAGATTATTCCACTTAAGTCTGTTGAGCTGGCAGACCTGGTGCTGCAGTCTGGTTCCACCCAGTTTCCTGAATGTTTTTGATCATAAACACAGCTGATTTGTTCAATTTAGTGATGAATCACTGCTGTAGACACTAATGAAGGCTGGGAGACATGTCAGCTGTTAGATAAAGGTGTTAAAACGACGAATGCACAGCGAGGTGATTTTGGTTTCACTTCTACAAACGGACACTAGGGGGTGCTAAAGCATGCCAAACTACCTAGTCTGCTTTAAAACTAAAACAGTTTGCTTCAGTTTCCTTAAAATGTGAACTCTGGGCACGCGAACAGCTGCTCAGACCCTTAGAGATGAAACCAGTCAACGATCCAAGTAACTTCAAATATGAGGACAGAAAACCTGTGTGGACACAGATCATGATAAACTGAACAATGCGTTCTGCAGAGAGAAGCTTGTTGTGTATGTGGTGCTCTTATTTTGGCGAGTAACGAGACTCACTCGAAAGGCTCGCTGGGGTCGTTGTTCTGCAGCTCAGAGGGGATGGGGATGCGTTTGTAGTACATCTCCCAGTCGAACGCCCCCCGCATGGCGTCCCCCGCCTGCGTCTCGTAGCCAAAGTTATCGTGGTCGATGACGTCGATCATCGGACACACGATGGTCTTCCTGTTCTGGGCGATCCGGTCTGAGAGACATAGAGAGGAGATGTCTGAATCATTTTAAATTGAATGGATGCTCTGAGGGAAAAAGGACATACTAAATATTACTGATTTCATTATTTTATTAGCTGCAGTATCTTATTAAACCAAACATACAAACGGATCATTGTTCAACTCACCAGGAAAAAGAACTATAATGGAATGAGAATAAAGTAATAATGAAGAAAGACTTTATTTATATTAAAGCCAAATATTCTTAAACGTATATTTGTCTGTGGTGATGATGAGGATGATGCATCTTCCTCACCCAGCAGAGGAGGAAGCCAGTTGACGTTGGCCTCACAGTGAGAGTCCAGGAAGGTGATGACTTCTCCTTTAGCGGCGGCGGCGCCGAGCAGCCGAGTCCGGATCAGACCTTCCCTCTTCCTGGTCCTCAGGATGCGAACCTTTGGGAGGCGCACCATGTACTCCTCCAGCGCAGCCTTCAGGTGTTCTGGAACGAGAGCAGGAGCGTGATAATCCTCACCTGTTCAGGTGCATTATGAAGCCGGAGCTGCAGAAGAAAACGGTCCTACACAAAGATCCAAATGCACACACACACACACACACACACACACGCATACACACGCACGCATGCACACACACACACACACGCACACACACACGCAAACACACACGCATACACACACACGCACACACACACACACGCACGCACGCAAACACACACACGCACACACACACGCACGCACACACGCGCGCGCACACACACACACGCGCGCGCACACACACACACACGCACACACACACACACACACACACGCAGGCGCTGCTGCTTTTGCTGATAATCTCGTCAGTTTTTTGTCTGGAAGAAACAAAAATCACGAGTTTCATAAAAGTTGTTGTTGACTTTCTCCGGTCACACAAACACACCAACAATAAATAAAGTCCTGAATGCACGTCCAGGCAGGCCGGCTCGAGTCCCAGCAACCTTCTACTCCTAACCGTCGCTGGTGGCTGTTGTCATGGTAACACGAAGCAGCATGGAGACGTCCAGGGTGGTTCTCTTTAGAGGGACCAACATGTCAGTCCAAACCTTTTCAGCATAAACACATCTTTACTTGTTTATGCATCACAGGCTGATGAAACGGGACGGGTTCTGACCCAAACCACAGTGAAAAGAGCTGAATCGGAACTAATCAGAACCAAGCACGATCAATCAAACCAAAACCATCAACAGGGATTTTCTCCATATTTCTTCCCGGCTGCCTCTGACAGATCAATCCCGCCGCAAATGGAGCCTGTAAATCTTTCTGCTCAAATGTCAAAGTCATTCTGACGAGTCAATAAAAGAGAAATTTGGAGTTTTATTCTGGGTCTGACTGCTAAAGTAAATAAAATACGTCATAATCCTTCCACATCAGAGCATATTGTGTGAATCAGAACAATACCACCGATCATCTGCTTTCCAGCCTCCGTCTCCATCCCAGACATCTTGGTGAAATTAATCTGCCTCTAATGCCGTCTTGATTGGAGGAAGTCTAAATAAAACACCATATGGTGCAAAGCAAAGAGCCGAGGACGATCCACCAAAACCAGGGCTCCCATTCCCGCTTCCAGCTGACAGACACCTCAGATGTGTGGTTTCATCGTCTGCCTGCAGGAAAACAAACCCTTTGATGGTTGATAAGACCCGGGCCCCATCCTCTACATGAATACGGTTATTTAAGGTGCTCCGGCGTAAACGTGGAGCGGGAGGGAAACGGGACTTCTGGTTTAAAGCACCAAATGTTTAACCAGCAGTGACGGTCGTGGTTCCTTCCCTTCAGCAGCGTTTCTTTTCCCCTGACGTGGTAAAAGTTTCACACACATGCTGAAACTCCAGAGCTTCCAGCAGAATGAATGATAGCTGCAGGGCGGCGGGGTCACCATGAGAGGACACGGAGGGCCTCCAGCTCTTAAACGTGGTAATAAATCAGCCCATTAGCTATTAAGCATCAGGAAATGGATTCAGGCTCAACTTTAGCCCCGCGCCGGTTCATTATTTCAGAGTTCCTAATGACGGGCGGCAAGATTAAAAAGGGAACATTTGCATTTCATGTACGGCTCATTCATGGAAGACCTGGGCGCGCGGAAAGGTTACGGCGTCTAAATACGGATGGTTAATTCCACCGGGAGAAATGGGAATACGGCGTTCCTGGTTTACAAAAGAAACCACAGAGGCTATAAATCCGTTTAATGAGAGGCGGCAAGTGCCAGAAACAACTTTAGTCTTTATCGGAACGTCACAGATGTCAGGGTCCGTTTGACCGAAAGCCAACAGGAAACACCAGAGAGGGCGGTGAGAAGGACCCAAGTCCTCACAAAGTCCTTAGATCTTCCTGTCAGCCGTTTCTATGGTTACTGAATCAGAATGAAGGCATCTAAGGTTTATGTGGATAGTACCCATCTCCAGAGCTGGACCTGCTGGCCCAGAGCCAGACCGACGGAGCTCGTTCTTCATCACCAGAGTCGACCTCCAGAGGAGGAACCTAAAGTTCTCAATGGGACTAGGTTCTGAGGAGTCTCCTGGACCTGGACCCAACATGCAGGGTAGGACTGCTGGATCAGCTTTAGGACATGGTTCTGGTCCTGGTTCTGGTTCCTCACAGTTCCAGAGGAAAAGGACTTCTTTGGCTCTTTCATGACAAAGAGGGATTTTCTTTCTGATCATTTTGGAGTTTTTGCAAACTGTCATCATGAAACTGAGGCTGAAGAACTTCTATGATTAACCTTCTGTAAATGTTTCAGCACACCTGTAGATCTCTCCTTCATGTCTTTGCTGACAGAACACAAACATCCATGTCTTCCTGTATTCATGCAGCTCATCAGGCTTTGCAGCAGATTTCTGAGTTGCTGCTGGAGGGACTTTCAATTCAATTAACCTCAAATTACATTGGATCCAATATGGCGTCTGAATCACCTTTCCAAGGTGCTGGATTAGTTCCCAGAAGCTTTGGCGAGTCACCAAGGAGCCAAGCTGCCAACTTTATTTGCTTCAGCTGCTCCACCAAACTCCATCGTGCATCCTGCATGTCGACGAGCACCAGGCTGAGAGCGTGTGAAGACGCTCTGTGTGACGATCGGTGGAAATAAAGAAACAGAAAGCCTTGGTGATGTGTGTGGTAGATTGATGGTTTTTCCTTAAAAGCACATGAAACACACCTTGAGCCGACACGCGGCTGTCCTCTGGGTGATGGATGACACGTGTGGCGTTTTCCAACGCATCAGAAATTATAAATATGATGCAACAGAAGGCAGGACAGATCATTTTCATGCTTTCGACTTTAAACACGTCACATATTGTTGCTTCACAGCAAACAACAACAATAAAAGGGCAGCTGACTGCAATCTGCTTACCAAATAATCTCTGATACATCACGGCTCCAGAAAGCAGGTGTTTTAAAACATGGGTAAATAAAAAACAAAACAAAAAAAACAACGGTTTACCGACAGCCCTATCTCGACTCCACGAAAAAACAACAAACAAAAATGGGTTTGCTTAAATCTGTCGTGGGTCAACGTTTTTAATAACAGGAAACTGTTCTTTGCGCCTCCATTGAATATATGAAACTTTGTTGGGGCTCACAATGACCCAGGAGCCAGGCCTGATAGATGGCCAAACACATCCCAAAATAAAGCCCTGCAATAAAAGCACTGGTCAACACCGCCCACTCGGCCAGGACAGGAATATTAAATGAGTTGTGTGCTGATTGGTTGGTTTACTTTATAATGCTGCCTCTGTATACAGTCATGTATCCGGATTACTTAACGGGCCCGCTGTGGATCCAGTTTTCCAGTTTTTTCAATGAGACATGCACGACAAAGCGATAATCGCAGGTCTCCCTCCTACTCAGCGAAACGCGAAAAACGTGCGTGTGAAATTTTGCACGTGTTGTGCACAGGTGACCCAGCGACGCAATCCCAGAGAGTTGAAATATGTTCAACTTTTCATCACTGTTGCTCGGACGAGGACCAATCAACGGAGGTTTCATTCACTGACCAATGAGCGGACAGGATGCTCAGTACACCTCCGAGCAAACATGGAGGAGAAGTTGATACTTGCTGTGACGGATTTCCAAAAACTGTACAATATTTCTACCAAAGAATATAGAGATGTTCACAAAAAGGCCGCGGCGTGGGAAATTGTTGGTGCCAGAATGAACACATTGGGATCTTCCTTGAGGTCCCTCATTAAATGATGGTATTCTCAGTTTCTTTCTCTGGTTTGTAATATGGGATGAACCCATTCTCGTTTTTTATATATAGTAAAATCAGAAGTAAGATTTCACATAACTCTAGCGGCACCTTGTGAAACATCATATCTACCACTTTTTTAACTCTGAACCGCTTAAAATAACCTTAATTCCCTCCAACCTGACACAGCCAATCAAAACAACGGAAGATTTGATTTTGCCATGGAACAGAACGCGTCGACGGCCTTGCCGCTGGCCGCCTCCCGTGTGTCAGGTAATAAAAGCGACAGCGACGAATTTCACTGATCGCGGTCGTTTGTCGCCTCCCGTGAATCGAGCCCATTATTCTTGCCTAAATGAAGACTTTAGTGAAACAACTTAAAGCCCATTTTTGCACATCATGTTTTTGGCTTTCCTGGGCTTTCAGAACAGTTCATTGTGTGACATTATTTTTAGCCATAAATTGAACAAATGAAACGTGATTGTACGTCCCGATACGAATGCTAATCTCTTTAAAAGATGGTGAAAAAGTCTCTTCCAGATGTTAAGGATGTAGCTGTTGCTGCTCCACCCACAACGCCGAGAGCAAACCTTTGTTCTAAACACAAACTTCAGTGTTTTTAGTTTTCGTGCAGAACTCTCTCTGCTGCAGGCATATAAAAACATCTGCTTCCCCTGTTTATTGATCGGCTGTAGGAGGCGTTTCTGGTTTGTTTCTCCACGTCCTTCTTTTCCAGCTAATTTTAGTTTAAGACTGAAAACAGAAACAAGCTCACTGCAGGTCTGCTTTGTAAATTAGGACCTTTTGAAATGGAGAAAACAAGCAGAGGAGAAACAACAACGAGGCAAAGCAGAAGGAGGAATAAAGCAGGAGAAAAGTGGCCACGGAGAATTAAAGCCAATTTTCATTCATTATGGCCGACTTCTGTCGCGCATCAGCAGACAGCTCATGGAGAACGTGTGACACCAGCATCCATCCTGAAGAATAAAACACCAGCCTCCACACACACACACACACACACACACACACATACACACACACACACACACACACACACACACACACACACACACACACACACACACACACACACACACACACACTGTTCCGATCCCTAGGTCTAGCTGTCCCGTCCTGCGGAGGTCCAGCGCCCCCCTGGTCTATTCCGTCTTCTGATTTTACCGCCCGGAGAATCAGCACCCTGGAGAGCAGCGTTTCAGTCATTCGGCTGGTTCAGCACCATGGAGAGCGGCACGCCGT